GTGTTTTACCACACACACGAGTCCATATGAGCTTAGGACGTCCTAGTAAGAAGTAGGGGCATTCCATCTGAATGTGTAAGTGTGTGTTTTTGAAAGTGAAAGCATAAATCTGATTATGATCACATGATATGGAAACAAATAATCTGAATAATGTAAAAGGACTATTTGCCTATGTTTATGATGTTCCGTTTACCTATAGCAAATGGGAGATACAAGAAGTGATGGAACAGCCAAATCATCTGAGGCTCAAATGAGCCGCGCATAACATAGTAATTCTAGGCTAACAATTGGTTTAAGAACACATAAAGTTTTCAAAAACGGATATCACAGTTAGTAGAGGCCGGTCTTCGTACCGGGCGAAAGGGGGTGCTCATAGCTGACCTTCCCCAATCGTACCCTAGCTCCCGAGCCGAGACAACTCCGGTGATGACGGACATGTGGCCTTCGGCACCGAGTCAGGGTTTCCTAAATTCCCCCATTTTAAAATATTTAGGTGGCGACTCTGTATCTGGCAAAGCAGTCCATGTTTGGCACTACTTTTTCCAAAATCTGTTTCTCAAACGATTTGCCAGATTTGGACTCTTTGGTTCAGATTAAGAACCGTGACTACGAAAAGTCGAGTCCGAGCTGTAGCACGAGGTCCCCCCGCGGGCTTGTTACAGTTATACGTGGACCCGAGGTTGTTCAGAACATATGATATGAATACAAATATTTTTATATCGCTATATGACTCATGTTACGATGTGTTATTTTATATGTATGAATGGATGTCCTATTTTGAAATGTGCTTCTAACCTTTTGTATAAGTGAGCGTACCACGTAAAGTGTTTTCTAATAGTTTCAAATACGTATTCCATTTGAAAAGGCATGGATTATGATACGATAAATGTTCTTTTGAAATGATTTAAGATACGTTTCAGATTTGTGAAATATGTTTTCCTAATGTTAAGGACATCATTCATTAACCTCTTTACTTTAATATTACTCACTGGGCATTAGCTCACCCTTTTATTTTATTTATGTAGGTGAGCCATCAGGGATCAACACTAGAGTTGTATCAAGGTCCACCTCTCTGTCAAGCCGCCCAGGTTATGCCTCCGTGTCGAGGCTTTAACTCTATATTGGAGAATTGTGTATTTCATTGAGTGTTATGTATATGTGTGTGAGATATGTATAAGTTATGTGATTATATATGTAAATATGGAAAGCGTATTTAAATGCTTAAATTAATCTAAGTCTTCATGTATACACAAACTAAATTTTGTTTTGAGGCCTGAGTACATGCCGGTCACGACCTAAACTTTTAGGGACGGGTTCCGGTCGTGGCACCACTCATCTTTGGGTTGCTTTAATGATGATGGCGGTGGGGGTGGTGGTGAGGGTGACGGTAACAGTGGTGGTGGAGTCGATATGGAACCTTTGGCTTTCGTGGAAGCTCAAGATGGTGCACGTCGACTCATGTCCTACACACACACCAACAACATATACAAAGAATACCCATGAAACATAAGTGAGAATAAAATATAATGTGTAGACACTCCATTTTTGACCGTCCTCAAGACTTGGACATCATCATTTGAACACTCGATAATCATCCATGCTCGTGTTCGTTTTGAGTTCTCGGAGGTCTCGGCTACGCGCCTTGCCTCAAGATCTCTCAACTTGTCTATTTTGTGCTTGGTTGTGGACCAAACACTTGTGTTTTTGCTTCTAAGGGAAGAGGGTGGCTTGTTTTCCATACCCTCAACCCACCGGCCAAGGCTTGAAGCCATCGACCCTGTTTTCTTTCCATCGGCCAAAAGTATTGGCCGATCGGAACTATATTTGGTCGGCTAACACTTATGTTGGTTGATCGGCCTTTTTTGGTAGCCGAACCCTGTTCATCTTCTTTATGCAGATATTTTGTGCCAGCTGGCACAGATGGCATCCACAATTAACCCCCTCCATACGCGTGTATGGAGGGATTTGCCCTTTCCTTAGCTTCTCCAAGAAGATTTGCAAATTGGATTTCTATAAGAGGGGAGGCCCTCCTCCTTTCTCAGAGGTTCTGAAATTAGGGTTAGAAAAAGTTGTATCTCTCTATCTCTATATCGCCCTATCTCTATCATTTGTGTGTGTATTTGTGACCTAAAGTGATTTTTGTTCACACTATTGCACACAAACACCTAGCATTACACCATCCTTGGTTGCTGAGGTTCTAAGGAGTTGTTGTTAGGATTCTTGGAGTGGTTTTGATCAGAGAAAGGTTCTGGTGTTGTGTTCTTGAAGGTGTTCTTCAAGGATGAGCATTCTTGCTTTAGATACCCCTTTCTTGCTTAGGCTTTTAGCCCTTCTTGCTTATTGTTTTAAGATTAGATATTAACTAATAATTTTTTTTTACTTGCTTTTGAACTTTTTTTAAGGTCATTTTGAGGTTTGGGGTTGTTTACCCCCTCCAAGGCCTTGTTAGGCCTTGTTTTAGGCCATCCCTTTTGGCCCTTGTTTTGAGCTTTGCATGGCCTCTCTACCACTGAAATCCATAGGATTTTCAATGGTGGAGAGGTGGTTTTGGTGTCCTAAATAGGAGAGGCTCATCCCCTCTCCTTGTCATCTTGAATACTAGCATAAGTGGCTTATGTTGGTGGCTTGTATGCCTAGCTTGTTTTAGCTTCATTCCAGCAAGTATTTGGTGTTGTTTTCCCATGATTTATCTCTGTTTAAAGTTGGTTTAGTGGTCTCTTGCATGCAACATATACTTACCTTGCAATCCCCTCATTTGCCTTAACATATATCTAGCATTTAGACTACCATGATTGCATGTTTTGGCTCAACTCCATGAAGCTTCTAGCATTGTTTTAACATGCTTGAGCTCTGTTTTTCATTGTTTCGGTCATGCTTACATTGTTTTGTATAGCTACCATGCAATCTAGCTTGTTAGCTTTGGGTGTTTGAGTCACTAACATGCTCTATTCGGATCATTTCAGCGGTTTGGCATCACTTGTAATATTATTTCAGTCCATGTAGTATGCTCATGTACTTGAATTTGTCACTCCTTTAATGCTTTAAAGGGTTTGTGTTTTATGCCTCATGAATGTGTCATTGTGTATGTCACCATGCTTAGGTCTTTGGGATGCCATCTAAATGAGTTTTTGGGTTTACTTTGACATGCCATAACTCTGTTTTTCATTGCTTAAATCATGCCATGTTTGGTTTTGATAGGTGTAGTGTAACACCCTCTTTGGTAGCCTTGCATGCCTCATGTTTTGGCGTTGTGTTCTAGCTTGTGTTGGCTAGTTTCGAGCTTGTTTTCGGTCTTGTTTGGACCTGCCTTAGGACTGTTCTAGGTCCTCTTGGCCCTTTGGGGCTTGGTTTGTGTAGCCATGGTTTGAACCCTTAGGCTAGTTTCAAGCTTTAAGCTTTCTTGCATGCTTTGCTTGTGTACTTTGGTCGGTTTGGCACCTCTCCTAACATGATTTCAGAGCTTAACATGTTTGCCTAATATCCATGTTTGCCTCTCTTTAAGCATTCTTAAAAGTGGCTCTACAATGCTTAAGGTAATGGACCATTAGCATGCATGTTTATATGTGTATTTCATGCCTTTGTTTCATCACTTTGGCCACTGATTTGCACCTATTTGAGAGCTGTCCATTTTCGTTTAAGACCGTTATCGCATGTTGTTGCATGCTTGCCTTGCATGTTGTTGCATACTTGGCCTATTGCATGTTGTTGCATGCTTGAGTTATATCGCATTTGGCATGCCCCTTTTGTTAAGTTGCTTTGCATGTTTGCATGTATTGTCCCTCGCATGTTGTTGCATGCTTGCCCCACATGTTGTTACATGCTTGCCTATCCTTGAATGTTGCCACATGCCTTGCATGTTTGCATGCTTGTTTAGGTTGCATTGGATTTGGCATGCTTATTACCATTAGCCTTGTATGGCATTGTCCTTGACATGCTTCATGCTGCATTAGTTTTGCTTGCATGTTTGCATCCCTTGCCTCTTAAGCAAGCATGATAGAGGTTGGGGTCCCTTACGTGTTTTTTTTTTTTTTTTGTGTGCATTTCATTCCATATTGAATTGCACATTCGGCTCATTTGGCCATCATGCATCGAAATGCGTGATTGGTGGTCCGAGGGTCGAGGACTACACTCCTTTGAGTCTCAAACATGATAAGGTGGGTGGTCGTGCAAACATTGCCTTGTAAATGTATTGCATGCTCTGTTTATCCCCTGCTGCAGCAACACAACATTCTGCAGGAAGAAATGGCCGGTCGGCAACTTTCAGTGCCGGTCGGCCAAACATTATTGGCCGAGAGCTTTACATTTGGTCGATGACCAATTTCCCATGGCCGATGGCCCTATCTCTTGGCCGATGGACTCTCAGAAAGTCCCCAAGCTGGTTCAGAAGTGTCACAGAAGTTGGTACAGTTTTCAGAGGTACAGAGCAGTGTAAACAGAGGCAACATGTGACATGGCGATGGATTTTCGAGCGAAGCCGTCCGAGCACGCATGCATCCTTCTTCCCGAGGCTGTTTTTACTTTTTGCATAGCTTAATTGATTTGCTTAATTAGTTAAGTGTTGTGCAATAATTAATTAGCTTGTTAGTTAGTTAATTATGTAATTTGTATTATTCTTTCGGTCCCTCCGTCGAGAGGGCACAATTGTGTAATAAGCGTGCATGTGTGTGATGCATGTCTTCCAACCTCCACTTCTTTCTCCCTTTTACTTAACCGCTTACGATGATTAGTTCTAGGGCACGTTTCAATTAGCATCCTTATGCTATGCATGTTTGCATCATTCATCTGTATTGCATGCACCGGGCTCGGCGCATCATACTAACTGCATTGTATTTCAATTCTAAGTTGAATACATGTATCGAATTGTCGCATCTCACATGTCATTTTAGACTAACCGAGCCTATTCTAATTGCATTTTGCATGTGATGCATTAGCCATCTTAACATGGACTTGGATCATACATTGATTACTAACATGTTCTTTGTTTTGGCTCGGAGTACACTATGAGTGTTTATGCAGATTTCATGAATGCATGGGGCCAAGTCATGGCAGGACATAAGCCGGCCCAATCACTCAAACCAGACCAATCACACACTAAGATTGAAATCTCCTCAAGCCCACTTAAACGATCCGAAGACCCACTCTCTGTGAAACAGGTCGGCCCAGTTGGAGACCATTGGATAAGTCCCAATAACTGCAAAATGGAAGCATTTTCTTTCCAGCTTAGTACCAAGCAGATAAGTCAGTTGCACTCAAAGGTGTGCGGCCAAGTTGGTACTAAAACAATTCCAGTGTTTCAGTCCCTATGTGCTCTTATTTGGAAGACTATAGCCAAAATTAGAGATGGGCCTGAGCCCAAAGTGGTGACGATTTGCAAAAACAATCCCCAAAATGGTCATAAAAATGGTCTTTTGAGCAACGGTCAAGTTGTAAGTGTGGTTGAGGCTAGTTTTTCCATAATGGAAGCCAATTTGAAGGAACTGGCGGAATTGGTAATTAATCAAGCTATGGATGAGCAAAGCAAGATCGAAGAGGCAATGGAGAGAGATCAACCACTGTCTGATTTTGTTATTTATGGATCAAACTTGACTTTCGTTGATTTGGAGGATGTCAATCTTTATGGGTTTGAATTGAAGGGACAAAAGCCTGAACTAAAAAGTCATCCCCAAACATACTAATTTTTTTTAGCTCATATTTTAGCCAAATAGCCAAAAAGTTACTAAATTAGTTTGTTTCCAAACGAGACCTAAGTATATATCAACATTGGAAATAAGGTTATTGTTGTGCTAAAGGCACAACAGTATTGTACCTCAATTTGAAATATATTATAGGTTTATTTTTATGATATGAATAGTTTATTTTGTAGGATTTGTTAAGTACTTTATACTTATCAAAAATCATACTATTAATCGGATATCAATAATTATATGATCGATAACCAAAAAAATAAACAATACATTTTTCTATTATTATTTTTATTATTTTTTGATTTCTTTATATATATATATATATATATATATAAATATTACAGTAAAGAAAATTAATAAAATACTAATGTATAAAACTAAACTAAACTAAACAATTAGTAAACTATACTACTATACAACAACTCTACTTAAGTAAATTAATTGAGCTAAACAAGTAAAAAAACTAACTAATTAAAATATGATGTTAACATATAAAAAAAAAAATACAACACATCATTACTACTTTTTTTTGGAAGCTGGCCGCACGTGCGGCTGTCCATTCGTCCAGATTCCATTATTTTTATTTTTATTTTTAAGGAACACTATAACAAGACTTATATAGATCTACAGATTGACTACATTATGGTTGAAAATGAAAGATCTAAAACTAAAAAAATAAACTCACCTTGAAAAAGTAAGAAGAAAAAGGTCAAAAAAGAAGAATGGAGGTCTGCCGAAAAATTGTTGTTAGAGGTGGCCAAAAGGAGGTGCGGCGGTGGTGTGGTGGGGTGGAGTGAGGGTTGAGGAAGATGATTGGTAATGGTGGTGTTTGATGAAGATAGGAAGAAGATAAGGTAGAGAGAGTAGGTTTGAGAAGGTGATGGGTGAAAGGTGAGAGGTTAGGGTTAATCTTAGATTTTTTTTATTTTTTTTTCACACCATGCAGGAGTACTCGCTGCACGTGCGGGAACCTGTGCACATGAGCCCTTTGCACCTGCTTTTAAAGCAATGCTAAATTTTGGACATAGGTATTTCTCGCACTTGCGGCAGTTATGCCGCACTATCCCCGACATTTGTAATTAAAGTAGGAGTAACTTTTGGACCTGGGAATTTTCCACACGTGCAAGATTTTTTTTTTCCACCCACTGAAATACACACCCTGCTTATACCAAATCAAGCCCAGAAACAATCACTAACAACTTCTACCTTCATTTTTGCATTTGACAAGCAAATAAACCTTTTCAACTTCCCAAACTGCTCAATCAAGGTATAATCTTCACGCAAAAACCACGAGTACTACTTTTCTCCTTAACCATGCATGTAAGTTTCTTTATTTTTCAACAGGGTGATAGACTAGGTTGATTTGGTATCCAAAATTGAGGTGCCAAAAGCTACCTCAACCTATGGGGGTGCAATACATATTGAAGCTGAGGTGGTTTTGAAGCAATCTCCACACCCTTGGGTATTTAAACCAGACTTTAGTCTCAAAAATTCCAAACTTTGTGTTCTAGGTTTTGATGTTCGAACTCTAGTTTCCACTATCTCAATTGGTCTCCTAGGAACTCACTACAAACACAATTAGGTAGCTATACCAGACGGTCAGACGCTATTCGGGCATGACTAACACCAAAGGAATTGTACCTTTGGTTTTAAAGTCTCTAAGACACTGAGCACAAGATAGCAAAATAAAAATAAAAATAAGAAAAGAAAGAAAAGAGCTAAAACGAAATATGCCACTTAATCAGAGTAAAACGGATCCATCAAAGCAATGGACTCAATCATCTCTCTATTCTCAATCCCCTTCACATAGGGTTTCAATTGTTGGCCATTTACCTTGAAGGTGTGGCCATTACGTAGATCTTTCACTTCAACGGTGCCTTGAAGGATTGCATCAACGATCACGAAGAGACCATCCCATCTCGATTTAAGCTTACTCGGAAAAAGTCTCAACTTAGAATTAAAGGGCCACACTTTTTGGCCAGACTCAAAGGGTTTGCGACTAATATGTTTATCATGAAACGTCTTGGTTCGAGCCTTGAAGATTTTAGAACTCTTATAGGCATCATTCCTAATATCTTCTAATTCATTTAATTGCAACTTCCATTTAATTCCAGCTATGACCATTTGGAAGTTAAACTTCTTTATGGCCCGAAGTGCTCGGTGCTATAGTTCAACTGGGAAGTGACAAACTTTTCCAAACACCACCCCCTATGGTGACATCCCAATAGGTGTCTTGTAAACAATGCGGTAGGCCCATAAGGCATCAATCAATTGTGCTAACTAATCATTTCTATTTGGCCTCACTATCTTTTCAATGATGTGCTTCACTTCCCTATTGGACACTCTATTTGTTAATTAGTTTGAGGGTGGTATGGAGTGCCAATTTTGTGAGTGATGGAGTATTTCTTAGTTACCGAATCAAAGGATTGATTACAAAAGTGAATACCCTGATCACTTATTATGGCCCTAGGAAATCCAATACGACTAAAGATATTTTCATGCAAGAATTTGATCACCACTTTATGGTCGTTTGTTCGGGTTGCTATAGCCTCAACCCATTTTGAAACGTAGTCCACTGCTAAAAGAATGTACTTCAAACCAAAAGACGACAAAAAAAGACCCATGAAATCAATGCCCCATACATACAGAAATTTCAATTGCTAAAATGGGAAACATTGGCATCATGTTTCAACCGGACATAGAACCCATTTGCTGACAACGCAAATAAGTTCTACAAAATTAGTGGGAATCTTTAAAAATGGTGGGCCAATAAAATCCACTTTGTAAAACCTTGGCAGTCATTTTGTGCCTACCAAAATGGCCGCCACATGTAGAAGAGTGACAAAATGTGATAGTACTATGCACCTTACTCTCTGGCAAACATCGCTGGATCACTTGATTCGAGCAATATTTGAACAACTTCGGATCCTCCCAAAAATAGTACCTAACCTGAGAAAAGAATCGGTCCTTGTCTTACTTGGACCAACACGATGGAATTTGATAACAACTAGGTAGTTGATTATACGTGCATACCAAGGAGGTCTCACTCGTGACACAACAAAGAGTTGCTCGTCCGGGAACGAGTCTTGTAGGACTAATGGGTCACTAGTGTGGTCAACTAAGATCCAGGATAGGTTAGGTGGTCGGCTACAACATTTTTGGAGACTTTCTTGTCTCGAATCTATAAATCAAACTCTTGTAGCAAGAGCATCCACCTAATGAGTCTTGGTTTGGTATCTTTCTTTGATAACAAATACCGTAAAGAAACGTGATCAGTGAAGACTATGACCTTAAACCCATGAAGATACGACTGGAACTTGTCCAATGCGAAAACCACTGCCAGAACTCTTTCTCCGTGGTGGTGTAGTTTAACTAAGCATAGAAAAGAGTCTAACTAGCGTAGTAGATCACGTATGGCATTTTGTCCACATGTTGGCCCAAAATTGCTCCAACTGCATAGTAGAAAGCATCACACATGATCTCAAATGGATGGGCCCAATCTAGTGACTGTAAACTTGGAGCTGAACAAAGAGTAGCCCTCAAAACTTCAAATGTCGCCACATACGGCTCATCCAAGACAAACGGGACATCATCGCCAAGCAAGTTACACAAGGGTCATAGAAGTTTGCTAAATTCTTTAATAAACTGGTGGAAAAATCCCGCATGACTGTAGACACCCCATTTTTGACCGTCCTCAAGACTTGGACGTCACCGTCTGAACACTCGGTGATCATCCATGTTTGTGTTCGTTTGGAGTTCCCGGAGGTCTCGGCTCGCACGCCTTGCCTCAGGATCCCCGAACTCGACCGTTTAGTGTTTGGTTTTGCACCAAACACTTGCATCTTGCCCTTGAGAGGCAGGGTAGGGCTTGTAGACCATCCCCACCCATCACCGGCAGTGGCTAGAGGCCACCGGCTGGTTTTTGCTGCCACCGGCAATGTATATTGCCGGCCGGCACTATTTGTTGCCGGTCAACACTATTTTGTGCCGGCCGGCACTCCTTTTGGCCAAGATGGCATTTTTGGCCGGCCGATTGCTGTTCAGTTGCTTTTTGAGATATTTTTAGGCAGCTGTATTGCAGTGACGTTCCCTCCATACACGTGTATGGAGGGATGGCCCTCTAGTTTTGCTTAACTTGTAAGTTTTGCAAGTTTGGTGAGAGAGATAGATAGAGGCTCTCTCTTGTGGCTGAGGTTGGAGACTTTAGACATTTTAGAGAGGGAAAAACACAGAGAGAAGCTCTGGTTTTAGGGTTTGAGTTGCATACATATCCTATCTCTATATTTACTCTTGTGTGTGTTTTAGTCCATACTATTGCACACAAGCACCTAGTGTTTCACCTTCCTCTTGAAACTAGGGTTCTAAGGGCTTGTTCTTGAGTTTCTTGACTGGTTTGGAGCCAAAGGAGGCCATTGGAGCATCATTTGTGAAGAAGGCTTCAAGGGTGAGAATCTAGTCCCATTTTCCCCCATTTTTACATTGATTTTATACCTATCTTAGAGCTATTTTTGTACTTATTGTATAACATAAAAAATTTCTATTTTTAGACCCTCTTTATTTTTTATTAAGAGTGTTTTGTTGTTTGAGGGTTGTTGACCACCCTTAGGCCTTGAAAGGCCTCATTTTGAGCCATTTTGTGCCATTTTGTGCTAGCTCCGGGATTTTGGTGTTGAGGTCTCTTCACCACTGAAATCTTGAGGGATTTCAGTGGTGAAGATGATGCCTTGAAGTCCCAAGAAGGAGAGGGCCACCCCCTCTCCTTGTTGTCCTTGAAAAGGGCATGTTTTGGCCTCTTGAGAGAGCATTATGCTTGAGCAAATACCGGGTGCCGGTGTGCTTGCAGTGAAATACGTGTGCTGTGTCA